CTCAATAATTGCCCTGTTGGGTTCATTCTCTCTGGGGCACCTGGCACTGGTCACTGTCGGCAGACAGGAGACTGGGCTAGATGGACCATTGGTCTGACCCACCATGGCCATTCTTATGTTCTTGATTTGTCCCTTAGCGCAACTGCCCCGTATTTTCAGATGTACCGAAAGGCGTTAAAACAGAACAGAAGGAGCATTTCATACATGACATGGAAGCTCACAAGAACTGTGTGGTCTCCTTGAGGGCGGCAGACACGTACCCGCCCTGCTACGGGAGTTGGTGTTCCCCTGAAATGTCCCGCACAAGAACGTGCCGCCCCACGCTTTTCACGTGTTTTTTCCATTCCACAAAGGGGATCGCCCCAGCGCTGCATCCAGCAAGGACAGACAGGGACAGAGCACAGGGGGCTGGGAGACCAGGCGGTCCCACGAGAACAGCTCTGACCACATCTGGCTGGGCTGAGCGATGCCTCGGGGGAGGCCGACGGTGCACACACTGGAGAGAATAATTCCACACTGGCCGAGGGATGGGCCGAGGGGACCCACTAGGCCAGTGGCGTCCAGGCCAGGAGGGACCTAGCTCACTAGGATTTTAAATCAGACGGGCTCCAAACCCCCAGCGCCCTGTGCTCTGGCTGGTCCCGCAACAGTAAGGCTCTTCCTGGCTGTCCATTTCCTCAGGCCTGGGACTGCAGAACTATGAAGAGACTCCCCACCTGCCTGGTAGCAGACACGTGTGAGTGTGTGCTCACGTACGAGTGTGAACACGTACGTACCAGCCAGGGCAGGTGCTATTTACAGCTCCATTGTGCACGCGTGCACACACACAGCGCTAAGTAATGGAGTCGGGGCTAGAAATCACAGCAGAGGGGACCCGGTAACCTCACCACACGCTGGCAGGGAAGCTGAGCCCAAATCGATTTTCCCAGCCGCCAGAGGAGCACGGGACACGTCTGGGGTGTGAGGGTCAAACGGATCAGAATATAAAGGTGCCAGTGAGTGACCAAGCAGGTCCCCCAAATACCACGTCACCAATTGTTTGAGGAGTTTGGGGGGTCCTCCACCCCGCATATTTGTCCTCGTGTGGAACATAGGAACAGCCGGACTGGATGAGAGCCAACGAACACCCCGCGAGCCCAATGTCCTGTCACTGGCAGTGCCCAGCACCAGATGCTTCAGAGGAACTAACAGGAAGGTGTGAGAACCCCACAGTAGCAGACGTGGAATAATCGGCCTCCCACTTTAGGTGTCTACTAATCAGAGACCAGCTCAGACCCTGAGCCAGGCGCTCTGCTAGCCCTGCGGGAATGTCTGTTGTCATTAATAATGCTGCAGAGCCATGGCCAATCCCTTGCTGAAGCTTGGATGAGTTCTTGGCCTCAACAACTTCCTGCGGCAGGGAGTTCCATAGCCCAAAACACAACCAGCAGAGTGCGTGGCCCTGAGGTGAGCAGAGGTGTTTTGTAATTGAATTCAAGGGAAATATTCCCCAGACAGAGATAAAAAAAAACAAATCAAAACAAGGTTCATGCTTTTTTTAAAAATGAGCCGGGGGGGGGGGGGAGAGGAATAAAGCCGAAAATACAGTCAATCAAAGGAAGCAGAAGATCTGAAAGGGGAAACGTTATTCTTATACAGACACAGGTTACGTTTTACAGATGGGAAACTGAGGCACGGGGTAGCTCAAGTGATTTGCCCAAGGTCATACAGGGAATCTGTAGCAGAGCTGAGTACAGAACCGAGATCTCTGTGCCGGCCCCACTCCAAGGGCCATCATGGCTCCATCTCGGCTGAATGCCTCCCAGGGCTGGGGCTGTGCTCAAAGCAGGGAGCTGTAGAGAAAAGGGTCTTTAGGGGTAGGGCCTTTGCACCACCCCAAGTTTAGATTCCTAGATTCCAAGGCCAGAAGGGACAATTGTGATCACCTTGTCTGACCTCCCCTATAACAAAGGCCAGAGAACGGCCCTAAAGTAACGCCTAGAGCAGAGCTTTTAGAAAAACATCCCGTCTTGATTTACAAATGGTCAGTGATGGAGAATCCACCACGACCCTTAGTAAACTGTCCCAATGGTTAATTGCGGTCACTGGTAGAAATACATGCCTTATTTCTAGTCTGAATTTGTCTAGCTTCAACTTCCAGCTGTTGCGGTCGCAGTACACATTTCTCTGCGACGGTGAAGAGCCTGCTAGCAAATATTTGTTCCCCTAGTAGATACTTACAGACTGAGATCAAGTCACCCCTTAACCTCCTCTTTGTGGAGCTCCTTGAGTCTGTCACTATCGCAGACCAGAAGAAGGGCTCTGGGTAGGGCGACCAGATGGCAAGCGTGAAAAATTGGAGCACTTCTTTTGGGTCTAGTTGCGTATATAAGACAAAGCCCCTTCTATGAGGACGGTCCCAATAACACCAGGACGTCTGGTCCCCCTAGCTCTGTGTGGTGCGAAAGTTTGTCTCTTTTGCTAACAGAAGTTGGTCCATTACAAGATAATACCTTGCCCACCTTGTCCCCTCTATCACCACAGGGCAGGTTTTCTAATCCAGGGGCTCTCAGCCCTTCCAGAAGATGGGACCCCTTTCAGGAGTCAGACGTGTCTTGCATACCCCAAGTTTCACCTCACTTAAAAACCACTTGCTTACAAAATCAGACATAAAAATACCAAAGTGACCCAGCACCCTAGTACTGACAGATTGCCGACTTTCTCATTTCATCTGGGCGAAATCTGAGTTTGTACTGACTTCGTTAGTGCTTTTTACGTAGCCTGTTGGAAAACTAGGCCAATATCTAGATGAGTTGATGTACCCCCAGAAGACCCCTGCGTGCCCCCAGACCAGGACACAGGATTCCAGCCATGGCCACACCAGTGCCAAATACTGATGTAATTTACCCTCCCTGCGCCTACTTCTGCATCCAAGGATCGCATTAGCCCTTCTGAACACAGCCTCACCCCGTATCAGGGTGACTTGCCCCTTTAGGGCGGGCGGATCTGGGTCTAGCTGAACTACCGAGGCACCCCTGGGCTGGATCGGGTGGTTCCTATAAAGGGCAGCAGGTTGCTGGAGCGCAGGGCAGGAAAGAAGACAGGCAGAAGACCCTGACACCAAAGGATTTGGGCCCCAAGACCAGGAATCTGTGGCTCCAGCCAAAGCAGCAAAGGCCCCAGCAGGAGGGCCTGGGGCAGGGGGAATTGGAGACTGCTGGGTGTGGGCACGCTGCAGCCGAAAGACCTGAGATATGGGGTTTCCCTTGTGAGGCCGCAGGCAGGGAAAGTGTGGGAGGACCCGAGGGGAGGCTCACCCTAGGGGGGCCGTCCTGGGACTCGGTGGTTCATGAGGAGAATTGCAAAGGGCTGGCGGGTGGGTGAGGCAATCCCTGATGGAGTTTGGGTCGGAAGAAATTAACAGGGCACTGCAGAGCCACCCCCCAGCCATGATGCGGGGGAGGGGGGGCTGGACACAGGGGACCCCACTTCGGCTGTATTGAATTACACATTGTCCGCTTGTGCCCAGCTAGTCAGCTCGCTCTGTGTCTCTGACCCGTCCTCTTCGCCGCCCCCTCTTCCCCCGTCTCTGGGCCCTCTGCAAACTGCCAGGGAGGAGTGAATGTTTCCTCCCAGGTCATTAAGGAAATAGCACAGGGCCAGGAGCCGATCCCTGCAGGACCGCACTGGAAACACCCCGTCAACGCTGGCTCCCGGTTTACACTTACAGCGGGTGACCCAAACCACGGGGGCGGGGTGTCATTTGTTTTCTTTCGTTAGTGGCCCAGACAAGTGTCTGAGCTCCCCCGAGCTGGGAAGGGAACCAGAGCATCCCAGCGAAATACAAGCTGGGCCAGAGCGTCCCAGGAGTGAGCCCCTTCTGCCTGATCTGGCCCACCTTATAATTCGCTTGCCCGCTCTGGTTCCCTTCCCCCGACCTGCAGAAGAGCTCGGGGAAGCCCGAAGGCTCGTCCACTTCAGCAAAGCTCCGCTAAAAGACGTTCCCTTGGCTCTCGAATACCCTGGCACCAACACGGCTACCACACAGCGAGCAGGGCGAGCCCCAGCAGTTAGGCAGTTTTTAATCCATTTAAGCCACCAGCACAGATTAGAGCAACCCCAAGGCCTGCCCCGAGTGATAACTGGCAGTCTATGCGCCCGCAAGCCCGAGGAAGGCCCCACAGGCCTGCTGTAGGGGGTGGAGTAGAGCTGGACACCCAGGATATTGCCCTTTGCCCCGATCTAGCTAGCACACAGCCCCCTGAGCCATAGGGAACCCCTTTCTGGGGCTCATCTCTAGTCCCCTATCTTACTCGCCCTCTGGAGAGTGCTTTGTTTAGAGCAGCAGCAGGTGGCTCGGCCCTGCCTCTCCTGAGCCCTCTGAGCTGACACCCCTGGGGGCGCTGCGTGTGCCTGGGAGCAGGGGCAACGGGGGAGCCCAGCGGCAGCCGCTCAATGGGGAGCCGGCAACGGGCGGAACCTGCCCCACCTGCCCCACAGGGCTGCAGCAGAGTGGGGCAGCTGCTGGGAAATAAAGGGTTAAATGATCTGGAAAGAGAGCCGCAAACCCAACTGATCACCCGGCCAAGCAGTGATGGGCGGCCACTGCTGGGCCGGGGCCTGGCAGCTGCTCAAAGGCCCACAGCAATGCTGCCCGGCCATTCAGGACAGGAAGCGAAGAGGAATCTTGTTTCAAGGGGATGGAAGGAGCGAGAATGGAATTGCCTGAGTTGGAATTTGGCCAGGACATTGGGATTAACATCTGTCTGTCTGTCTGTCTGCCAAATGAGCCCATCGCCAGCCACTGCTCCATCTAATTTCTGGGAGAGTCAGAACACGAAGCAAGGCAGGACATGTGAAAGGCCATTCGCTCAGGGAAGGCCCCGGCCAGTCCACCAGTGCTATGTATTCCCAGTCTGGGAACAAGCACACCATGGCGTGACCAGGCAGCAAAGGAAACCATTTTATCCCCAGCACGGGCAATAATTAACCTGTGGAACTCACTGCTGGGGGGGGGTTACCTTGGAGCCTCTGGATCTGTTTGGTGAAGATCTCAGCCTGCCGGGCACTGGCCAGTCGCTCGTCCTCCAACAAGCCTGTAGCAGAGAGCGCAAGGTCAGCAGGCAGCGTGCAGAGACCCTGCTCCTGCACCCGCCCTGCCATGCTGATCAGAGGAATGGGGCTGCAGGCCCCCAGCGCCTCAGCTGGGCTACATGCCACGGTACACAGGGAGGGACGTCCTGGGGGAACATGAGCCCAGCTGAGCCCTCCAGGGGGGAGAGGGAGAATTGCCCCCAGCCACGCCACGAGCATCTGGAGAGAGACAGAAGGGACATGGGAAGGGCATGGGCGGGGCTGGGAGCCCTGCGTGGACCCCAGCCCGCCCAAGGGAACGGGAAAGCACATGGCACCGAGGGAGCTGTGCATGGGAACCTGTGCAAGCACGAGCCCCCCCATGCCCCATGGTGCTCACGAGAGATCACAAGCCCCCCTGGTGCCCCATGCATGGGGACCTGAGAGAACATGACAGAGATCTGGTGAGGCCACACCTGGAGTATTGCGTCCAGTTTTGGGCCCCTCGCTACAGAAGGGATGTGGACAAACTGGAGAGAGTCCAGTGGAGGGCAACGAAAATGACCAGGGGCTGGGGCACATGACTTACGAGGAGAGGCTGAGGGAACTGGGCTTACTTTGTTTGCAGAAGAGAAAAGTGAGGGGGGATTTGATAGCAGCCTTCAACTAGGTGGGTAGAAAGCTGGCTAGATTGTCGGGCTCAACGGGTAGTTATCAATGGCTCCATGTCTAGTTGGCAGCCGGTATCAAGTGGAGTGCCCCAAGGGTCGATCCTGGGGCCAGTTTTGTTCAATATCTTCATAAATGATCTGGAGGATGGTGTGGATTGCACTCTCAGCAAATTTGCGGATGATACTAAACTGGGAGGAGTGGTAGATACGCTGGAGGGGAGGGATAGGATACAGAAGGACCTAGACAAATTGGAGGATTGGGCCAAAAGAAATCTGATGAGATTCAATAAGGATAAGTGCAGGGTCCTGCACTTAGGACGGAAGAACCCAATGCACAGCTACAGACTAGGGACCGAATGGCTAGGCAGCAGTTCTGCGGAAAAGGACCTAGGGGTGACAGTGGACGAGAAGCTGGATATGAGTCAGCAGTGTGCCCTTGTTGCCAAGAAGGCCAATGGCATTTTGGGATGTATAAGTAGGGGCATAGCGAGCAGATCGAGGGACGTGATCGTCCCCCTCTATTCGACATTGGTGAGGCCTCATCTGGAGTACTGTGTCCAGTTTTGGGCCCCACACTTCAAGAAGGATGTGGATAAATTGGAGAGAGTCCAGCGAAGGGCAACAAAAATGATTAGGGGTCTGGAACACATGAGTTATGAGGAGAGGCTGAGGGAGCTGGGATTGTTTAGCCTGCAGAAGAGAAGAATGAGGGGGGATTTGATAGCTGCTTTCAACTACCTGAAAGGGGGTTCCAAAGAGGATGGCTCTAGACTGTTCTCAGTGGTGGCAGATGACAGAACGAGGAGTAATGGTCTCAAGTTGCAGGGGGGGAGGTTTAGGTTGGATATTAGGAAACACTATTTCACGAGGAGGGTGGTGAAGCACTGGAATGCGTTACCTAGGGAGGTGGTGGAATCTCCATTCTTAGAGGTTTTTAAGGTCAGGCCTGACGAAGCCCTGGCTGGGATGATTTAGTTGGGTTGGTCCTGCTTCGAGCAGGGGGTTGGACTCAATGACCTCCTGAGGTCTATATGATTCTGTGGAACATGCACCGTGCCAGGAGTTCACGAGAGACGCCCTGTGCACACAAGTCACCTTCCCGTGCTCTCCTGCTCACACGACTCCGCATGGCCCCAGGCCAGCGTGTGCCGCCCTTACCCTGTAGCTCCAGTGAGTCATCCTCGTGCTTCATTGCCAGCTCCCGCGTCTCCTCCAGCTCCTTCAGCAGCTGCAGCACCTGGGCCCTCAGGTCGTCCATCTCCTGGTCCGTCAGGTCCAGCTGTTTGTCGTCCTCTTCCGTGAAGCCCACTTTCCCCACATCCTCCTCCTCTTCCTCCTCTGGGTCCGGGGCATCCACATCGCCTGGCAGGGAACACTATGTGAGCCACCTGCCGCTGACCTCCAGCCCCTCGCAATGCACTCACTGCTTGTGCCCCAGGCCACGGCTCGCAGCAGGGAGCCAGACCACCCCCTGCCATGCCAGCCTGGTACCAGCCCTCTGAGCCCGCGGCAGAGACAAACCTCTGAGTCATTGCAGCGTGGAGGGGCAAAGGCCACCCTGGCCCGGCTGGAGAAGCGGATTCCGCCCCGCCGCACGTGACCCACTGGCTCCACCTGACGGCAACGGGCGGAACCTCTCCAGCCAATTGGCTCTCGAGGTGGGGCACCCGCCGGGCCCACACAGGCAGCCACAGGGATGAAAAAGGGGGTCCCCTCCTGAGGTGCATCCAGAGCTGACCCCAGGGGCCTGAGAGAAATGGCTTGGCTGGAGGCAGATGGGGGAGAATTGACGGGGTTTCCCAGAGCCGCTCATTAAAATTCTGCCCCCATGGTGACTGGAGAAAGGGGTAGGGGCTGGAGTCACCTCCACCGATGCTGCTAAGCCCCCATGCCAGGCACTGTGTACCTCTGGCGCTCACAGGACCACTGCTCCGGGGCCACGGGCAGGCATTTCCCAGGGGCTTGGGGTCCCCCGCAGAGTCCCCGTTTCTCCACCCGTCACAAGCACACACCATCCCTCCATACACTTGTTTCCTCCCTACGTGGCTTGCTCGGCATGGCAGGAGAGGACAGATGACCTGGCAGGCAGGTCCCTGCTACCCTGGGCAGGGGTGAAGGGCTGGGATCCCCTCTCAGCGCCACCCCATCAGAGGCGCCCAGGCTTCAAGGGAAAGGGCGGATTCTTCTTGTCCTGTTGCCGGCACCCTCCAGGGGCAGAGACTCTTCCCAGCTGGGCAGGCTCACCAGGCCAGATGTGAGCTAACCCAGGGGGACCCAAAGGCTCCAGCCTGTGACACCCCCCTGCCCTCCCAGGCTCGCGGGGGTGAGGAGCAGGGCTGGAGCGAGCAGGCTGGTCTCTGAACATGCCCACGGAGCAGAGCCACTGAGTCAGGAGGGGACGTGTTTATCCAGCCGCTTGCCAGGAATTACCGAACTGGGCTTTAGCCCCCGCAGGTGGGCTCAGGGGCGCCCAGCGCTCTGGGCTGGGGAGAGGATTGCTCTCCGGGGGGAGGGGGGGCTGGCGGCTGTCTTTCCTCACTTTGCCTGTAACACAGACAGTGGCAGCTCCCCACTCCCTGGGGCGGGGGGTTCAGCTTACAAGGAGGAAAAATGGACCACACAGGGCCCCACCCACTGCCTCCGTCCTGCCCGTTTGCCCATCTAACACCCCTCCCTCCCCCCCCCCGCAATGGGGAACATCATCGACTGCTCGGTTTGAACCATCGCTCGCTGCTGCCCCTCACCATGGCATCTGGGCGCCTGCCATATACAAGCTGTAGCATCCGCCAAGTCCCCAGTGGGCTTCAGGGAATCTGTGGCACCTCCCCCTTTGGGGGCGTCTGGGGAGAATGCAGCTAGTTTAAGCACGTAGAAACGTCAAACCTGAGTTCATGCAATGGCCAGATGACAAAGGTAGGCCCTAATCCTGCAAATGCTCGTGAACGTGAATAACGTCACACCCAGGACTAACCCCAGCATGACCAGTTACTCACACGGGGCACATAGGATCAGACCTCATTCCCGCAGGACGCCGGGCAATCCCAAAGTTAGGGATCTCCTAGCAGCCCTCAGTGTCCCCACATGGCCCAGCCTCAGTCAGATTCTCTTCTAGTTTACACCAGCATCAGTCTGGATTAACTCCGCTGACGTCAACAGCCTTGCCCCGGGGTTAAAGCGACGGGAGAGGAGGGTCACAGGACAGAGATCCATGGAGCCGCCTGAGCGGAACTGACAAGCTTACGGACAAAGTGTAATGGGCCAGGGTATGAAATACGAGGTCAGTGGCCTCACACCAGGGATGGACTTGGCCCAGTCCATACAATGGGAATGAGTTACTCTTGTGGTATTCCTGCCTCCTTGTGTTTTAGAGAGTTGACCAAAGGGGGATAGGCTAGAGGTCTATAAAGTCATGACTGATGTGGGGACGTGAATCGCGAAGTGTTATTTACCCCTTCCCATAACACTCGAACCAGGGGTCACCCAATGAAAGTAAGAGGCAGCAGGTTTAAAACAAACAAAAGACAGTACTTCTTCACATGACACACAGTTAACCTGTGGAACTCATTGCCAGGGGAATATTGTGAAGGCCAAAAAGGAATTAGATAAGTTCCCGGAAGATAGGTCCACCAATGGCTATTAGCCAGGAGGATGGGCAAGGATGGTATCCCGAGCCTCTATTTGCCAGGAGGATCAGGGACGCAGCCCCCCATGCTCTGGGTGTCCCTAGCCTCTGGCTGCCAGAAGCTAGGAGTGGACGAGAGTGGATGGATCACTCGATAACTACCCTGTTCTGTTCATTCCCACTGAAGCGTCTGGCACCAGCCAGGAGACAGGGCTAGATACACCATGGCTCAGTCTGGCCATTGTTATGTTCTTAAAGCAACAGCATCAGGTTAAAACCTTTTGTTTTTTAATCAGGGGGCAGACTTTCAAAGACACATAGGAGCGGACCATGCCCACACAGAAGGCCAATGGGAGCCGGGCATTTGCCTCCCCCTGCTGCTTTTGAAAACCTCTCCCAAGATAATGAAACCGGTCAGTTCTTCCAGCCCCAGTCCCTCGGTTACTTTCCACAGGTTCCTCATCTTGGAGAGTGAAACCAGGCTAGTCCGGTCCTGCTGCCAACTCGCCAGGCCTGGCTGGAGGCGGCCAGGGCCGGGTTACGGACCCCGCAGGACAAAGCGGGCGTTCTTTAACAATCCAGTCTAACGGGAACTGACAGGACAAGAAACTAAAATAAACCCAGAGACCGGATTCTCTTGGTCCTACAGCTACTCTAAGCTTCTGTTTACAAAACCGAGGTTTGGGCAGATTTGACCTCCATGGTGCCTTTACACTTGCAAAATTCTCTTCTCCCCACCACCTGAGCAGAGTTAAGTGTTTTCTATTTGGACAGTCACGTAGGAAGAGGCTGAGACAACGTCTCTGTTGCGCTGGCCCGAAGGGACATGGCCCTTTGCTAAACACACAAAGGGTATTTTTAAGGAGCGCAGTGGTCCCCGATTTTGATGATTTACGACGGAGAGGCTGTTCCCCACCCAGAAAAATAACTTGTTTCTTCTGCTTGCTTTTTACCCCAAGCCTCAGGGACATGGAGTCTGGTCTGGGTTGACTGGAGGAGCGGTGGGAGGTCTCTGGGAGATGCAGGAAGCTGGTGCAGGGGTATGAAGCCTGAGCCAGCCTTGCTCCCCTGGGAAGGGCCTGCAGCACAGCCCATGACCCGGCCCGAAAAGCACGGGGCTCACGCACACTCGACTTTAATCTCCTTGGCAGGTGGGTGTCTTCAGCCAAACTGCAACATCGCACGGAGCTGCCACCGAACGACATGTTACGAGGCCTGCACCATGAGTGCCACAGATTCGGTAACGAACTGGAGGGATGTCTGGGTCAGAACTGTGCACCCATGTGTCATATGCACTATACTGCGATCAGCTAGTGATGAGTCCCCTTTAGCTCTGCGGCCGGTGCATTTGGAGCAGGGGGGGTCTGGGTGCGAGCTCGGCTGTCGCTGGGGAGCTCTGGCTGTCCAGGGTGGCCCTGGAGTTATTGCAATAATGTTTCTACCTGCACAATTGGAAAAGCAGCCAACAAATGAGTCCCTGCCCCACACACGCTTCCTGCAGACAGATCCGAGATCCCACCACTGCTCCCCTGAACCAAGCTGGAGCAAGGACTCGCTAGCTGAGACCCTCTCTTCGATTAGCATGCTGAAAGCCCGGGCACCAGCCCGTCCCGCTTTAGAGTGACTCTCCCTTGTCTGGTAGGGACAGAGGAGGGAGCCAGCCGGCTCCTAGTGCAACCCCAATCTCCTTGGCAAGCTCCATCCCACTGGGTTTGCCAACTCTGCCTCGGAGAGCAGGGGCTTGTGACAGCTCTAGGAGCTAGGCAGGCCGGGGCTCTGCTACTGACTTCTTTCTGTGGCCCTGGGCAAGTCCATTCAGCATCCAGTGCCTCAGTTTCTCCCTCTGTAAAATAGGGGTAAGGATCCCAAGCCACCCACCCAGAGGAGCTGGGAGGATGAACTCCTTAAAGTGCCTTGAGATCCACAGTGAGGGAGGGAAGTGGTCAGTGAAAAGCATTGACAGGGCCCATACACCATTCCCTGTCCCATCGCACTGGGGCGGCCGGGGGGCTCCATCCTCAGCCAGGCAGCAGGCTGGTTTCTTGGGCACATCCATCAGAGGGCTCTTTGGTCTCCTCTCAATGAGCTCCTTGCAGCCCAGCTGTGGGGCGCTGGTAGCTGGGGGAGTCTGGGCTCCAGAGGAGTGGGGCTAGCTGGCTGTCCAGAGCCCTGGATTCTCTCTTCCCACTCCGCCAGCCCGGAATCCCATCCCCACGAAGAAGACAAGTCATGGGGCACTCGCATGGGACAGCTCGTTCTGGCCGTTCTCCCGCCCGGGGTCCGTCTGGCCGATTTCCAGCGTCGGCTCTTCGGGGTGCCCGCTTGGTGCTGCTGTAATAAATGGGGACGGGGGAAATCGTCGATCCGCAGGGAGGGCACCCCTTCCCGTGCGCAGCGTGAGACCACAGGGCTGGCTCGGCCAGGGCTGGGGCGATGGAGGCCCAGCTGTGAGCAGCGAATCCCTTCCACGAGGAATAAAAGGAACAAAAGCGAGGTTTATCCTGCTTCTTTCCCCGCCCCCTGGGATCTCCGGCCTCCCTGCCCCAGAAGGCCCGGGATAACCCCATCACCGCGCAGAGCGGGTCTAGCCCGTCGGGAAGGAGGCCGGGACAGGCACCTCCGCTGGGAAGAGAACCCCAGTGGCACAGGACCCAGATCTCCTGATTCCCAGTGCAGGGCTCTGGGCCCTGGGCCCCACGGCAGCCCCGATGGCGCATGGACAGAGAGGGCCCTGTTGGCTCACCAGCCAAGTCCTTCAGCCCCCAGCCTCTCTGCTGAGGCTGCCAGCCGGGTCGTGGGGGCTGACTCCCCCCCCCCGCCCTCGCCCCATTGCACAGTGGGCAGATCGGGCTCCCCGGGAGGGGCGGAGCCACCCAGAGCTGCGAGCCCCAGAGCCCAGGGCTGCTCAATAATGCATGGCCAGCCGGGCCAGCAGCGCTGTCTGGGCCACATGGGGAGGGACCGGAGCCGCCCCAGCCACAGGCCCGCTGGAGTGGAGGAGACGATGGCCCCGGTGCAGGACTCTCCCTGCAGACCCCCAACCTGCCCGGGACAGCCGAGCTCTCTCGGGCTGCAGAGACGGGGGGTAGGGAGGCGAGCGACTGGCGGGGGGCTGGGAATCCAACGGGCGAGCTAGGCTGCGCCCCACCCAGCCGGCGTGGGGGAGAGACCCAGGCTCCCCCTGCAGGAGGGTCTCCACACACGGGGGGCAGCGGTGACGGGGGCGTAACAGACACTGCCTCTGCTGGGGACCCACCCCAGGCCCCTCACCACCGAGCACCTCAGCTCCCCCGAGCGTGCCAAGGGAGAGGCTCCACCCGCCGGGAGGGAGTAGTAGGCTGCTCCGGCCACTGGGGCTGGCCACTAGGGGGAGCCGGGATCGCGGCCTGGCGGGAGCCGGGCAGGACGACACCAAGGGGCAGGAGGCTGCGGTCTGGGCTCCGCTGTCCAGAGCCGGCCCAACGGGGCGAGCTGGGACCGGGCAGGCAGGAGAGCAGCTGGGCAGCCCCCGGGCTAAGGCCTTGCAGAGGCTCTGACGCTGGGCTACAAGATGCCACCGTCTGCCCCTGAACTCAGCAGGCTGGACCGGGCCAGGCTGGTCGAGGCCAAGCTGGGCCGGGAGTCTCCTCTCCAGGCCAGTCCCCAGGCCGTGGCTGTGCCCGGTGGCCGGCAGCGCTGGGACGGGTCCATGGAGCATGAGGCGGGGGTGTGAGCTGCAACCAAGGAAGCAAGTGAAGCTTGTACCGCCCGGCAAGCGTCTGAGGGGCACCGGCAGAGCTGGGGGGGTGGGAGCCTGGGGCTGGGCTAGCAGGGGGCTGTGGGTCAGGAGTGAGGGGCACCGGCAGAGCTGGGGGGTGGACCCGGGGCTGGGCTAGCAGGGGGCTGTGGGTCAGGAGTGAGGGGCACTGGCAGAGCTGGGGGGGTGGGAGCCTGGGGCTGGGCTAGCAGGGGGCTGTGGGTCAGGAGTGAGGGGCACCGGCAGAGCTGGGGGGGTGGGAGCCTGGGGCTGGGCTAGCAGGGGGCTGTGGGTCAGGAGTGAGGGGCACCGGCAGAGCTGGGGGTGGGAGCCTGGGGCTGGGCTAGCAGGGGGCTGTGGGTCAGGAGTGAGGGGCACCGGCAGAGCTGGGGGGTGGACCCGGGGCTGGGCTAGCAGGGGGCTGTGGGTCAGGAGTGAGCAGCACCGGCAGAGCTGTGTGATGGGCAAGACCCCAGGGCGAGAACCTCAGGGAGGCGGCAGACTGGGGGGGTTGAAGGGCAAGCTGACCTGCAGCCCCCATCTGCTGTTCCAGTCCTCGGTACCCCCCCATCTCTGCCCCCCCAGCTCAATCTTGCACCCCTCCCACCCGCCGTTACAGCAGCCCGGGGCAGAGCCGACACCCAGAGCCGGGCTGGCAGAGCCGGGCAGTGGCTCGTACCCACACCGGGCGGGCAGGCCAGGATCTCACAGGGACACATGCCCCCCGCACCCCACAACAGAGTTCACTCTTTGACACGCCCACCCGGCCTGGCAGCGGGTCCCACGGGGGGGGGGGCACCGAGTTCCCCACACCTGTGGGCCAGGCTCTGAGGTGAGCCTGCCCCATGCGTTCAGGCGGACTCCCCCGCACTGCCAATCAGACCCAGCCCGACAGGGGCACAGGGGGGGGGGGCAGGTGTCTGGGCTGCTTCATTCAGCCTCTGGCCCCCCCACTAGCCTCTGGGCTATTTTTAACCCTGATCTATGTTTTGCACTGGGCCCCCGCTGTCAATTACGCTCCTGTTCCCATGACAACCGAGAGGAGCCCAGAGACATCAGGGGCCAGAACCCCTGGGAATCTCACCTTTGCCACCTACCGGCTGGGCTCCTGGGGGGGCCTCGGACCCACCCCCTGGAGCGTGCTCTGGGGAGGGGCAGGGACGTTTTCCCCCCCACCACCACCCTCCAATTCTGCCGGTGCCCCTCACTCCCCACCCACAGCCCCCTGCTACCCCAGCGCTGGGTCCCCCCCAGCTCTGCCAGTGCCCCTCACTCCTGACCCGCAGCCCCCTGCTCCCCCAGCCCTGGACTCCCCCCACCGAGCTCTGCCAGTGCCCCTCACTCCCGACCCGCAGCCCCCCCCCATCCCTCTCTCGGCCAAGCCCTTCCCAAACTACTGCCCCCTTGGAGCATGGACGGGAGAGAGCGGCTGGAGCAGGGGAAGAGAGGAGAGTGACTGGGGCGGGGGGGGGGGGAGGAGGGAAGCTGACAGTGAAAGTCGCAGGAGGAGGGGAGATGAGGCAGGTGCACACAGGGCCCCAGCCTGGGCGACCAAGTGCCCCGTGCCTGTGCCCGCAGACAGCTCGGAGCGATGGGCACCGCCACCACCCCACCCCGGGGGGGCACTGACTCTGAAACCTACTGATGGCAGGTACCCCAGCAACCCGCGGGCTCACTCTGGCACAAGCGGGAGGGGCTTGCCTCTTGGGCGGAGCTTGGAAGAGTCCATCCCCTCGGCGCAGAGCCGCTGCCCAGCAAGGGGGAAGCCATGGCAGCGAATCAGCCCAGTTCCGGTTCCTCACAGGCCCCATGGACCAGTCCTCCCCGCACAGCCCCTGTGCCAGTGGGAATGGGCAGCCCAGAGAGCCGTCGGCCCACGCTGATCCTAGCCAGGACGCTGCACTCCAAGAGCCACTCCCCCACACCCCCATCCGCTGCTGTTCTGTGACAGCACATGGGGGGTGAGCTCCCTGGCACCCCCAATCTGCCCCCCCAACACACACATGCTCTGGGGTTCTGCCCCCAACTCTGCAAGGGGAGTGGGGTCTAGTGGTTAGAGGTGGGGTGGGGGGCTGGGAGCCAGGACTCCTGGGTTCTCTCCCCAGCTCTGGGAGGCGAGTGGGGTCTGGCAGTTAGAGCAGGGGGCTGGGAGCCAGGACTCCTGGGTTCCAATCCTGTCACGGATGCTTTTCCCTGAGTTCGCCGGGGCAGGGGATTCTGAGGCTGAATGTCTAATGCGCCTTGATGTGCTCAGATGCCAGGGCAGGACAGCACCATGGTGCCCTTGCTTCTGCTCACAGACTGGAGGGCGTCAGGACTCGGGGAGCCAGCCTGTCCCCCGCACTCCAGGGGCCAGTGCAGGATCATTTTCCAGGGTTCTGACCCTGCAACTGGACAGGGGCCCCTCCATGCCCCACACACGGACCCATTCCAGCATCTCCTCTCCCTCCCGGTAGCCCTGGTCACTCTGGGGAGGGTGGAGGCTGCAGGGCTGGGACGTTCGCCCCCCTCTCCCCCCATCCAGAAACAGCTCCTCATCTGCGTCCACAAGTTAATTACATAACTGGGTCACGTGCCATTCCCGGGGGGAGGAATGCAGCCAATGTGCGTTGAGCTCCCAGGGATGGAGGGGAGTCGCCTGGCACAGAGGCCAGCTGCCTGCCCAGGCAGAGGTGCCCCATCATACCCCCCCCCATAGTCAACGGACACCTGGTCTCTACCCTGGGGAGTCAGGACTAGAACCCAAGTCCCTCTGCTCCAAAGAGCTGGGCTGAGCCCAATGGAGCAAAAGGAGAGCTCCCTCGGCCAGCGCAAGCAGTGGGCCCTTATCCCCTCGCAGGGCAACGTGCACAGATGTGCCCCCAGGAGAACTGCACAGCTCTCCCCCAACTCTGCTGAGCCATGGTGCCCCTAAGTGCCCATCCCCATGCCAGCAGAGCAGCCCCACCCAGACAGAGCATCGTGCTAGATAGCCTGGCCCCAGGACATAGCCAGACATCCCTGAAGTCCCCGCAGCCCAGCCCCCGATCCCAGCCGGGCACCCCTGGGGTCCCCGCAGCCCAGCCCCCGATCCCAGCCGGGCACCCCTGGGGTCCTCGCAGCCCAGCCCCCGATCCCAGCCGGGCAGCTCACTCCCCCGCTCCCTGCTCTGGGGGTGCTGGGGGGGTGGAGGGCGCAGCATGGGGGGTGGGGGGCAGCCCAACGGCGAAGGGATGGAGAGCTGTGGGGAGGTGGAGGGCCCAGTGGGGAGGGTGGAGGGCTGTGGGGGGGGCATCTGGAGGGGGGGCACTGGGGGAGTTTGGCAGCCCAGCGGGGGGACTGGAGGGTCTGGTGGGGGAGTGTCCGGCGCGGGGGGGGGGCACTGGCAGAGGATGGCAGCCTGGCAGGGGGAGGATGGAGAGATGCAGGCGGGGGTGTCTGGTGCGGGAGGGGGCACTGGGGGGAGGATGGCAGCCGGCGGGGGGGATGAAGAGATGTGGGGGGGTGTCCAGCACGGGGGGGGGGTGGCACTGGGGGAGGATGGCAGCCTGGTGGGGGGAGGATGGAGAGATGCGGGCGGGGGGCCGGCGGGGGGGGGGTCACTGGGGAGGATGCCAGCCCGGCGGGGGGACTGGAGGGTCCGGCGGGGGGGAGGTGTCCGGCGTGGGGGGGGGCACTGGGGGAGGATGGCGGCACTGGGGGAGGATGGAGAGATGCTGGGGGGGGGTCC